TACCAACGAAATGAAACATGGCCTGCATTATCCCTATACATGCAAACAAAAAGAACTGCATTAACCGCTATTGTAAACCATGTAGATGAACGAATACACAGCCTTCATTTAAGGCCCCGTTTAGATCCAAAAATTTTTGGATTTTAGCTCACTGTAGCATTTCATTTGTATTTAGTAATTAGTGTCTAATTATAGACTAATTAGGTTCAAAAGTTTCGTCTCGCGATTTCTTACTCAACTGTGCAATTAGTTTTTTTTTCGTTTACATTTAGTACTCCATACATGTGCTGCAAGATTCGATGTGACAGGTACTGCGCAAAATTTTTTGGAATCTAAACGGGCCCTAAAACCCACCACTGTGGAGGGGGCGAAGCCAGGTGGTGCGCCTGACTCTTGCTGGCATGGAGTGCGTCAGTAGCTAGGCATAGCTGCAGAACTCTAAAGCTACTTTCTTAGCGGGACATATTTTGAACTCTCCGACGACCTTCTTTCTGGAACACAGAGGGAGAACAACACACGTACGGAGTATACTCATACATGCATGGATAGCTTAATGATCAATTAACAGTGAATGACATCTTTAGACACATGCGAGATGTAGCAAATCATACCCCTATGAGAGCACCTTCGAAGACTGGACCGGCAAATCACTAAAAGCACAAAGCTGTTAAATCCTATAATATTCGCTCCCGTTACTAAGGCTCTTGTAACCACTAGGCTACAGGCCCTTTCACATGCTAGATATAATTAGACATGTGTTGATTATGCTTATCACCAATCGTCCTGACCCTCTGGGATAGCCCCAAAGGGCTAGTTTTTTCCTGAGGAGACATTTAACACACCCCTTCAGGTAGGGTCATTTCTAGAATTCTAGGACCCCAAGGTGAAATGCTAGTTGGGACCTAAACTATACCGTATTCAAATATAATATAAATAAGAAATACAATTAATTATATAGCTTCGATATGAAATTAAAGGCTTGTTTGCTAGGATGGCAGTGGTGAACCTAGCTTGAAATTTTAGGTAGGGCGGATGTTACTGCCTCACCGGTGCCCTGTGCGCCGTGCTCGTGCCACTGGCCTTGGTCGCGCGCTGGCTACGCAACCAGCAGCCACAAAGGACACCGGGAGGGAGCCAGCCGCCGAGCCAGCGAGGGGCGAAAGGCAGGAGGCGGGAGACAGGGTAGGGACCTGGCGCAGCGAGGGGCGACACTCAAGGGTGAGCAGCCGATAGTTGCCAGCTCCCGAGTGGCCATGGACGATGCAGTGGATGTTAAGCCTGATGCAGCCTTGAAGTTATTTTACTTGCCCTAAGGGCTAACCGGCTAAGTCTAAGCCCTGTCCCGATGGGTCGGGCCAACCAAATGGGAGAGTCCAGTGTAGCTTACACCCGCATGTTAGCTAAGTCCCCAACTCAGAACACAGAAGCCCAGCAAGTGCGCTGCCTTCCATGTCCGTCTTCAACCTCGGATCGTTTGTTACTACAAAAATAATTTCGCGAGACACTATCTAACCTTAACACAGCAAACGTCTCCTAAAATACCTACGGATTTACATAGGCAGACGCCTTATTTACGGTCAAAAATTACCTGCCTCGTAAAAATCAATTTACGAAGGCGGTCAAAAATAACTGCCTTCTAAAATCTACTTACGGAGGCGGACCTTTTAAATGGTCCGCCTACAAAAATGGAGGCCATTTTCGGAGCGAACCTCTTTGAAGGGCTTGCCTGGAAAAATATACCCAAGGCCCAACCAAAGCCCATATCAGGCTTTGTATAAATACAAGAGTCATGGTTTATCTATATCCGTTCTCTCTCTCACACACAGCCTCCTCCGTCTCCAGATCGCAGCGCCCCTCCCTCTCCTCTACTCTCCCACCGTCGCTGCGGTCTGTGGACAAGCGCTACGGAGAAATGTAGCCGCCCGTTATCAAATCAAATTGAAGTTTCCTTGTCCATGGCTCTTGCACTATATATTATGTTGCTGCGTTACCAATCTTGCAGCGCCAAAAAATATCTTGGGGGGAGCAAAGGCCTTTACCATGATACCCTACAATGTAGGGCCAAAAGTAATGCAATCCCAAGTTTGATGCATTCAAATGAAATAATAATGGTGGAAAAAGAAAATCTGAGCCCGTGCAATGACGCCGTCGATGTAGGCAGTAGGCTGTGCTAGGCTGCTAGGCAAGGTGCACTACCGGAATCCTCAAATTTGCCGAGTGTTTTTATGTTTGCCGAGTATATTCCCTCGGGCACTTGGCGAACAAGTTCTTTGTCGAGTGCCGCGCTAAAAACACTCGGCAAAAAAAAATACTCGGCAAACAGGACATTTTGCCGAGTGTTAAAACAAAAACACTCGGCAAAGAGGTTGTTTGCCGAGTGTTAGAAAAATACACTCGGCAAACAAAAATAAAATCTTTTTTCTGAAAAAGAAGGAGAAGAAAAAAAATAAAAAAAAAAACTTTGCCAAGTGCTCAGATCTAAAACACTCGGCAAAAAAAGTAGGAGAAGAAAAAAATAAAAAAAAACTTTGCAGAGTGCCCCATCTGAGACACTCGGCAAACAACAAAAATATCTACTTGACCCACGTCCAGCACCCCACCCGCCCTCCCGTCCCCACCTCTTCTCTCTCCTCCTGCCCCCAGCGCTCCTCTCCCACACCAAACGGCACCTCCCTCTTTCTCACACACCGGCTCCTCTCCCCTTCCCCTCCCGACGGCGCCCCCTCCCCATCGTGCCGCACTCTCCCTTTCCCCTCCCGGCGGCGCCCCCTCCCCTCCCCTCCTCCCTCCGGCGTGAACCCGAGGCGGGGATCCAGTGGAAGCGGCGGCCCTCTTCCCTCTGGATCTGAGGCAGGAGATCCGGTGGCTCGTGGCGGCGGCGGCGGCGCGGCCCTCCTCCCTCCGGATCCGGTGGCGGCGCGTCGTCTTTCCCGGAACAACGGCGGAGGATCCAGCGAGCCCGAGGCAGAGCGGATTTGGCGAGCTCGAGGCGCAGCGAGCTCCTCTGGCGGTGGATCGAGGTCGCCCCCCCCCCAGCGGCAGATACAGTGCAGACTCGTCCTCTAGCGGCAGATCCAGGCGGTGGCGTCCCACGGCGGTGGATCAAGGTCGAGCGCGACCGGATCTAGCGACAGCGACGGTGACAACGCGCAGATCCGGCGTGGCGGAGTAGGAGCCCGTGATGGTCACGGATGATGAACGTCGCTGTGGCGAGCGGCTTGAGGAGGCGGCTTTGCTGGTGGCGCGGTGGTGGTGCGGCGTGGTGGGGCCCTCTCTTCTTCCCCGGCGTGCTTTTTTTATTTTTTTCTGAAAAAAAGTTTGCCAAGTGTTTTTTGGGCACTCGGCAACTTCTTTGCCGAGTGCCCTACAGAAAACACTCGACAAACTAGCGTTTGCCGTTAAAACAGTTGTCGAGTGTCGTTTGCCGAGTGTAACACTCAACAAACCCTTTGCCCAGTGTTTTTGGGACTTCGCCGAGTGCCCCTGGCACTCGACAAATATCCTGTATCCGGTAGTGGTGCAGGCGAGAATGCCGCCTGGGCTACAACCGTTATAGTGCCTCCATCCTTAAATAACTGCCGTTCTCGCTTCTCGAGAAATAACTTCGACTAATTTTATATAAAAAATATTAATATTTATGGTATATAATTAATATCATTAAATAGATCGTTAAATCTATTTTTATAATAAATTTATTTGGGGATACAAATGTTGCTCGTATTTTCTATAAATCTAGTTAAAGTTACGGTACGGAAAAAAAACAATAGTTATTTAGTGACGGAGGAATATGTCATCTGAAAGCCTGTTACATTACAAAAACCTAATCTACACTGAAGGACTGGTCTATGATATTTTTTAACTCTAGCCCTGTCATTAAGGTGAAACTTGTTGGAAGCCCTAAGACTTGTTGGAAGCCCTAAGATTAACGGGAAGACTTGAAAGATCATGAGGTCAAACATCACGGCACGTCGGCGCCGGCGGGGCAAGATATATACGAGTAAGCTGCACCTACAGTTCGGGCTTTCAATAAGAAGTGAGTGTTCGCAAAAGTACCATTAGTATGGTGACCTTGTGAGCATGATCGACTGCATCAGTTCGTGATTTATGATTGCAGTTGCACAGACTTGCAGGGGAGAATGAAGAATATGGGCGTGGGCCCACTGCAAATCATCTTCGTTCTTTCTCCCCTTAATTAATCAATCTTCTCCTAACCAAGCTGTCATCTGAAGCCGATGGTGTTTGATCCAACGACTGGGCACTGATTCACATTTCCAGCTATGGGGTGGTTAACATATCAAGTTCATGTAGGTACATCATGTGTGTGTTGTAAAGGAAGCCTGTGTCCCATCTCCTGGTGTTCTCTTCAACAAGTACATACATACGCTACACAGGGGTACAATAAGTTCCTTCATCTAAAGTTGGCATCTTAATTTATATCCGTAGTACCTACCACATAGTAATGAATAGAGTTATTATTATTATATATATATACAAACATTGTTGTTTGTAACGGGGCAAAGCGAAACGACGAGAGAGAACAACCCAAAAGGTTGTCAATAGGTCAACAACAGACCATTTCCCCACTGAGCAGTCACCATCACCACACTTCACTCTGATCAGAAGAGCCAATGCAATGCAAGGTCTCCATCGAAATCATTGTTCAGAATCTGTTTGTTAATTCCTTTCCTTGAGGACCATGCATCCAAGCAAACGATACATATTGGAGGCGGTTAATTCTTTTCTGTTCCTTGCTCATCTTTGGAACCCTGCTGGAAAGCTAGCTACGCCGTCACGCTTCATTCGTTCTTCGTTCCCGCGCCCGGTGCTCATCGCTTTCGCTATCTATCTCGTCCAACCCCATCCCTCCCGTCCGTGACCCTGATCATTTGCCTGTCCGGCTGTCCCTATCGCCCTCTCTCTTTTTCCCTGCGACCAATCCGGCCGCGTGCTTGTTTCGTTCCTGTTCCTCGCACCTCGCGACGGCGCAGCCCGCAGCAGCCATGGACGACGGTGACATCGGCAAGGAGGACGCCAACAAGCAGCGCCTCGAGTGGGCCACCATGAACCTGGAGCGCGGCGTCGTCGCCGGTGGCGAGAAAGGCGGCGACGGCAATGGGAATGCGAGCCGGAACCGGAAGCCGCCGATAGGCATCGTCCGGCTCTTCTTGGCCTGCATCGTCTCCGGCGGCATCCAGTACGGCTGGGCGCTGCAGCTCTCCCTCCTCTCGCCCTACTCTCAGGTACAGTTCATGTCCATGTCATCTTTTGTTCAAACGTGCATGGTTTTAGTTTTCTCTGATTACTGTATTTTCATGGTCGTCTGATCGACGACGACCTTTTGATATGCCCGCCCCGCCCAGACTCTTGGGATCTCGCACAGCTACGTGTCTCTGACATGGATCTGCGGGCGTATCGCCAAATTTGTGGTACGTGCATTCTCTTACGTACTCGTATATATCATTCTGATCTTATCTCTTACTACTACTATTTGGATAAAGATAAAGAACGTTAAATTTGGTCACATCAAAGAAAAAAATCTACATCACCTTTGATGTTTGGAGAGGTGTCTACTTAATCCCCAAAAATATAAAATCAGGTATTGAACACATTAAAGCTTACAAGACCGGTCAATTTACCCACTGGGGTGGTTTTGCTAGGCAGTTTTACTTGCGTGGTAGTCCAGGCTAGATGTGTTCGACGCGCTGGCGCTTGGCCCGCTCGTCAGATGCCTGTTTATTCCCAAATATGCATGCTGCAGGGCGGATGGAGCAAGGGCAGCGGCCGTGGCGGCCGGGAGAGCAGCAGCCGCCATGTCTCGCTCACTCTCCCTCTCTCTGCCATGTCTCAAGCTCTCCATCTCTCTCGCTCACTCTCTCTGCCTGCTCTCTGTTCTGTTCGTCAATTCTATGGAGAGCAGCAGCCGGCGGCGGCTAAAATTCGCGAGCTCCACCATCCCCAAATTAGTCGCAACCGTAGCTTCACCTTGAGCCTCTTTACATCCCAGGCCTAGCCTCGTTGAGTTTCTTCCAAGGTAAAGGCTGTTGTGGGCGTTTTTCGGATCGCCGTCGCCATACACGAGCCAAAATCAGAGCTCCCTTTGCCTATCAAATTCTACCAGCTCAAAGCCACCTAGTTCAATTCCTTGCGCCAATAGGTAGCTATGGAAGTTGCCTAGCTAACAAACCCACAGCGAGAGCTAGCCGCGTCGTGTCGTCAACCAATTTTGGAAATCCGTGGCCACCGGGACGCCGTCGTGGGCGCTGTTAGATGTTTTAGTTTGAGTCATGTAAATTTTTTTGTAATCCCATTGTAACTTTTTAGTTGTGTCGTAGTAAGTTTTAGTCGGCGGCCGCTACTGCTCTCCATGGAAGTGACGAACAGAGAGAGCAGGCAGGGAGAGTGAGCGAGAGATGCAGGCACAACATGGGCGCCACACGACGACAGCACAGGCAACAGCGAGGCAGCACAATGCAACACGTACAACGCGTTCTCACGGCTCTGGGCGGCAGCTCGGTGCGGAAGCGGCAGCAGCGGTAGAGGAGGCCGAGGGAGGGGTGCGGGAGGTATAGAAGGAGGCTGCAGACCTGATGGCAAGATCACCTTGGCCTGCAGCTGAGCACCATAGTGGGAACCATGGCGGCACTGCGAGCGCCCAGCTCGTGTATGGCGAAACTCAGCGAGGCTAAGCCTGGGAGAGATCGTCACTGCTATGGTGTCTAGGGCACTGCCGTCGCACCACCTCGAGTCGCACCTCGGAGACTGCCACCGCACGGCCAGGCTACGGCGGGAGGAGCTAGAAGTCGAAGGAGTTGGAGGTAGGGGATGACGGGTGGGGAAGACCTGTCGGTGAGAGAAAGACCTGTCACTTACAAGCGGGGCCTACTCGTCTATCGTCCACATAAGCATCAGAGTCCACCTAGCGTGGCAAAATCGCCTAGCAAAATCACCCCAGGGGGTAAATTGATCAGTTTTGTAAACTTTAATGTGTTCAACACCTGGTTTTATACTTTGAGGGTTAAGTAGACACCTCTCCAAACCTTAGGGGGTGATGTAAATTTTTTTCCTATAGATCTGTGCAGGTTATGAAACTGCTCACCTAATATATATTTCCATCTTTATTTATGTTCAAGCATTTTTGAGGTTTTAATTTAGGTCCTGTTTAGATCCAGCTTCGGATTCTTAAAAACCAATTTTTGTCTGTAGTTTCTAAAATATGGATTCTGACCAAAAACTAATGGGGTTTTGGATCCCCCAGTTTTTACTTTATTTATTGCTCTTTGGGTCACAATAAATAGCAAAAGATGAGTATCAATAGCTTCTTGGTTTTTAAGAATCTAGCAAACACTGGCACAAGAAACTAAGCAAAAACAAGTTTTTTTTGGATTTCACACAGTTTTCAAAAGCCAGATTCTTAAAACGGCAGTGCTAGCGTCCGGACGTCCGGACGCCCGCGCTGCACTCCGTTTCCCATGTTCGGGCCAGCACGCCCCTGCCCGAGCCCGTATTTTGCGTGCCCACGCGGGGCCCGGGCCGCAGGGACCGCTCGCACCCCGTCCGCTTCTCACACGCATTACAACATGTGTAACACCCGATCTACTTTTGTAATATCCAGATGAAACACTTGCAACATATGTCCGAAATAGCTGTAAACATTTGTAATATACGTCTGAAACACTTGCAAAACACTAGTTTGAACATGAAAACACGTGTGTAGCTATTGCAAACATCAAGATGAAACACTTGCAACATACATATGAAAATACCTGAAACACATGCATATATATGCAACATCCCGATTTAGTTGCGCATCCAAATAAAACACGTGCAACATACATCTGAAATAGATGAAACAAATTTGGAACATACACTTGAACATACATGTATAGCCCATTGCAACATGTGCAAGATCCTAATGTATTTTTGCAACATCCTTATAAAACACTTGTAACATACCTGTAAAACATCCGAAACATTTGAAATGTATACTTGCAACATGCATCGTATCTCGGTGTGGCCTCCTCCACCATCTGCATCGGGGTGCCGCTGCCGTAGCAGGAGGCGAGGCTGAAGGGCTTCCTTCTCCTTGCGCGGTGGCCTCAGTGGCTAGCTGGCGGCCGAGGGAGCGATCGCCACGCGTGGGCGCGGTGGTGCACGTGCTGTCAGGCGAAGCGGGCCGCAGAGCAGAAGCAGCGGGGCGGGGTGGCGGAGCAGGAGAAGGAGCAGCGCAAGGTGACTGTCGATGCGCGGAGCAGAGCGGAGCAGGTCTCTTTTCTCATTTTCTTATCCAACCAACACGACGGAAGAGAGAACGAGCAGGCGCAGAGGAGTGGTCTATTTAGGCTGGTATGCAGACCCACGAAGGGGTGACGAACGCTCTGCCCGTAGCATTTCCGATCTTAAAATCTAGAGGATCCGGCCTTAATTACCAAGATTTCTTTTCAAGAGATAAGATGAGATCATTACCAAGATCCGTTTTCATACGTCCAGTCATCTTCGTCCTCCTTTTCCGAGGCCGGCCGGGGATTAATGTGAATTGATTTCGTTGGCAGGTGCAACCCATCGTGGGCTACTACAGCGACCGGTGCGCCTCGAAGATGGGCCGGAGGAGGCCCTTCATCCTCGCTGGATGCATCATCATATGCCTCTCTGTAAGCAAAGCACACATCATCGCATCACAACACACTTTTGCTTTCTACTCCTACATACTGGCAGTAGCGAGATTCCCTCGGGTTTATTTATTTATTTTAAAAACTGACGATCGATGATGCTGGTGTTCCGGCAATGCAAGGTGATGATGATCGGGTTCTCGGCGGATATCGGGCGGCGCCTCGGCGACACCAAAGAGCACTGCAGCACGTTCACCGGCTCCCGCTGGTACGACGCCGCCGTCTACATTGTTGGCTTTTGGTTCCTCGACTTTGCCAACAACACGGTCCAGGGACCGGCTCGCGCCATGATGGCCGACCTAGCTGGTGAGCATGCAATGCAAGCGGGTGTTTCAATTCGCTGGTGGTTTCTGTATTTGAATTTGAATTCGAATATAAATGCTGTTTGTTTACTGCTGCAGCTGGACAGCACGGCCCCAACGTTGGCCAGGCCATCTTCACCCTGTGGATGGCTCTCGGCAGCGTGCTCGGATACTTGGCCGGCGCCAACGCGAAATGGCACCAGTACGAAGCCTCTCTGATGCGATCATGCATCTCCTCAAAGCCTTTCATGCATTCTCTTTTGTTTTGCTTTGCTTTTCTGCTGGTTGATCCATACTGTCTGTATCCTGGTCAGGTGGCTCCCTTGGCTCAAAACCGCGGCGTGCTGCGATGCCTGCGCGAACCTCAAGGGCGCCTTCTTGACTGCGTTGGTGAGCTACCTACGATGTTGTTGCTTCGTCTCTCGTCTCTCGCTGCGCTGTGATTTTGATCGCTTTCCTTTGGTTTGTTGTTGATCAGATCCTCATTATAATCACCATGTCGGTCACCTTGTGGCTCACCGGCGAGCAGCAACTCGACAAGCAGGACAACGTCGTCGACGCCTCCGGCGGCGGCGCGTGCCCCTTGTTCGTCGATCTCTTTAAGAGCCTCAAGAACCTTCCCCCTGCCATGTTCCGCGTGCTCGCCGTCACCTGGGTACGCGCGCCGCGCCAAATCGAACATCGCTCCATCGCTCATCATCATTGACTCGATCGATCTGACTGACCGACTGACTGACGACTGTCTTTCTCGATCGCACGCAGCTCTCGTGGTTCCCGTTCATCCAGTACAACACCGACTGGGGATGGGCCGGGAGATCGTCCACGGCGAGCCGCAGGGCGCGGGCGGCAAGGCGGACCTGTACGACGCGGGCGTCCGCGAGGGCGCCGTGGGCCTCCTCTTTTCCTCCATCGCGCTGGGCGTCACCTCCTTCCTCATCCCCAAGCTGTGCCGGACGCTCACGTCCCGGGTCCTCTGGTCCGTTAGCAACCTCATGGTGTTCGTCCTCATGACGGCCATGGTCGTCCTGGGCATGGTCTCCATGAAGGGCTGGTGATCGCGCTCAGCGCAGGCCCCATCGAAGGCGCCTTCAACAAAGGAAACGCCCCGGCCTTGGGCATCGGCGGCGCCGTCTTCGCCCTCATCAGCGCGGTCCTGGCGCTCGTCCTTCTCCCAAAGAAGAGAGGCGTGTCCAACAACGCCACCGTCATGGCGGGCGGCCACTGATCTCCAGGCCTGTCGTCGCAGCAGCGGCTGCCCAACCGAGAGTGGATCGGAAATCCAGAATCTGCTTCTTGATTAAACAAACATACAGTATATATTACTACAAGGAGCGGATGGCAATATCTCGTACACGACCCCCCCCACCCTTTGGGCTAGGGACCAAGCTGCTTCCGGCAAGGCTTCGAACTCACCAGCGCCGACAACACGGCTGGTTCCCCAAAGCTCTTCCTGGCTGGGCAGCCCAACTCAACTCCAGGTGACTTCTATACATGTCGGCAGCAATATGGCTTACGCTTCTCCTCTCGGGTACAACATCACCATGGGCTTAGGTGTGGACACCAATCACCAACAACCAGTCCTGGGAGGCCCCTACTGGTCTTTTTATCGATTTTATATATACACAAACAATTTATTTGTATGTTGTTGGCTGTGGTGTCGACGTCTACATGTTTGGTGATAATGCGACAGATCTCATAGGTTCTTGCATAAGTATCTGCATAGATAACAGAGAGATCATGGGGATCTCATAGCTTCTTACAAACTATATATGATGATAGTCAATGTCAAAGTTTTAGTACATCTTACCAGGATGATCTTTTAGATTGCTCTCATGAAGATATAATGATCAAATGGGTTGTAGCAAACTTAACTTGGCAGGAAGCTAGGTTAAATAATGCTACATATGCATGCATCAGTGACAACAGTTTCTGTGAAGATGTCATGCCAAGGGAAACACGTTTTGGGTACCTTTGCAAGTGTTCCAATGGCTTCCATGGAAATCCACACCTTACAAATAATTGTGCAGGTTATATTTCTCTCCTAAACTTATTTGCACTAAGTTTTCTTGTTCTCTAATACTAACCTATCAAATTGTGCTACTGCACAGGCTATAATTTTAAGAGACATAAGTATTACAAGTTGTGCATAATTTAGGACCTGCAACTAGTTAAAATTACTTATCTTTAATCAGTGGCGGAGCTACAGGGTATGCCAGGTATGCCCCGGCATACCCTGCAATTCTGGCTAGCGAGCATGTATATATACGTATATTTCTTAAAAAAAAGAAAACAATACTTACCTGCGATACCTAAGAGCCGAACGTGGAGAGGCAGCCTGCGAACCAGCGTCAGAGAAGGCCCACGCGGCCCATGTAGCCAGCGACAGGATCACGAGAGACGGTACAGCGCCTCGGCTTCTATCGACTATTGCGCCGCGCCGCAAGTATGAGTATTGTTCGATCGATGCATCGCCGTATAGGTATGTTCGACGGTTCATCTTTAGATCTTCACCGCTCGACAGCATACGCATACCAGATCAGAAATCGCCAATATGGAGCACGAGCATCCAGTCACCGTCGTCCCTAGTTCCTACGACCACAACGTTCCCAGATCTTCAGACTGACCACACCGGCGGCGGCGGCGCGCGGAGGCTTATGTGCAATTTGTGATCAGAATTGAGGTGAGATTCAATATCTTTGCTCATCAGCTTTCCGTAAAAAATTGATGTATACTTTAATTGCTATTTGCTAAGCGCTAACATCATAAAATCATCTATCACACAGCGAGGTCGAGGGTTTGTCCCAGAGTCTATCATTAGTGAAAACAAAGTTACGAAATATAATGGGAGATGATCTTTTGGATGATTGCTCATTTTCATTGAGCGAGATATTTTCTTTGAAATCGATTGAGATATATAATTGATGCAATATATTTATGTCCCTTCGAAAACGTCGAATAAAATAGTCATAAGTCTCTAATACTTTTTTATGCCCATATTTCAATTATCTGAATGGCTTTTGAACTATTTATATTGTACTTAATCTATGAATTTAAGTCTTATCATGTTACTTAATGCATATATACTGAATTACCTGTCAATTTTATATTTATTATCAAAATGCTAAAATAGATTTACCGAATTGTATATGAATTTTTTTGGGTGGCATACCCTAACCTAAAATCCTAGATTCGCCACTGTCTTTAATGGTTGTGATAAAACACACACACACACTATGCTCTCTATTAGTGTTGGGGGATGGCCCATCTTATCGGTACCCCCGGTCTTCCCGCTGCCGTTTTCGTCACGAAAGAGGCTCTGTTTTTCGATTAAGTCTTTTTGCCATGTAAGGGGGAATCACGAAGGCGAAAAGGTTTTCGCCCCAGCCGTCGATCTGAGGTTTTGCCATCTCGATCTGTTTGGTCGCCAGGGTCGCTAATGACTCGGCCGCCCGGCGCGAGAGCAAACCAATTTCGTACTTCCTCCGGTTCTCTAAAGCAAGTCGTTTTGGACATTCACGCCGAAGTGTTTCTCCAGCACACGCAGGCTCATGAGCTCCCCCGCCATCTCGGCGTAGGTGAGCAGGCCGTCGTGGTCGGCGTCCAGCGCGGCGAACCGGCAGTCCACCGAGGAGTTGAAGGCTCCGTCGTCCTCCACGAAGCTGCGGACAGTGCTCCCGTCCAGGATCTCCACGCTGATCTTCGAAACCTTGTGTGTCTCTTCTTGGAACGTGTTCGTGCAAGAGGTTGGGTTGGCTTGGTGAGAAGATGCGAGAGTGAAGGCCGGGCCATCTTTATAGGCTCGCGAAGTCGGGTTTTCCTTGACGCGTTTGGTTTGGGCCAATGGTTTTCCTTGGCGCGTTGGGTTGGGCCGACGGGTTTTGACATGAGTAAGATGCTGTGGGCGCGTGTTGCCTTTTGCTCGGGAACGACGCGAAGTTTCCATGTCTTTTGGCCCGTGAAGTCGTGTCTCCTCGCCATTTGCTCTAAAAAAAAGAAAGAAACTAGAACATGCATTTCGAATGTGGGCGGCGGCATATGCTGTGAGTCGGTGCCGACAATTGTACAATTAGAAGTGCAAAGCGAACCACAGCCTTTCTTGCTTTCTTTGACATCTCGCTGTGAATACATACATGACTACAAGTCTACAAGCAAAAACAACGGCGGCCACATTTTTTTTTCGAATCACGTACAGACCGGGTATACTGATACATGTGTGTGTACTGCATACTCATCTATGTAAACGTATGCACACACACTCTACTTTTATAAGCATTTCTCAAAGATTACCAATATATCTTAAAATCGATGAAGTCATCGTAGACGCATCAAAGACATCGATGGACATATCACCCGTCACTGAAAGAACAACCTTTATCCCTATAAATACATGTACACACACCCTACGGCATATCATCAAGAATGTAAATCTAGGTGGACTGGCCGGTTCAAAAGAATTTGCAACGGCAGTTCACATTTGTATATACATTGGACCATTCGGTGATTACATTTTATGATTATATTGGATCAATAGTTTTCTATGAGCGGGAGCTATCTATACACCTCGAGTTAGCCAAGTCATGTCAAAGCTAGCGACGCGCGTCTCGAGGCTCTCTTCCAGTCGTGATGTGCGTTTAGGTAGCTCCTTTGGCAGCGGCGTGCGACCCTGGAGCCCTTCGCTGGCGCCAACGATTGGATTTGTCGAGGTTGGTGTGTCGTGCGTCCAGGGTGCTCCGGCAGCGGCATGCATCCAGGGCGCTCCTCCAGTGGTGACGCGCAGCTTGGCTGCCCCCGGCTGCGCCCATGGTTGCATCCGTCGAGGAGGGTCTATCACGCGGCCCGAGCACTCCTCCGGTGGCGCCCACGGCCAGATCCGCTGATAAGGGTCCGTCGCGTGGCCCGGACACTCCTCTTGCAAGAGCAACAACAACGACAATGAAAGAGGGTGCGGGACAGGACGAAGTGGCGGCAATGGATCTGGCGGGCAGCAGCTTAACGGAGGGCGTTGGGGCGAGGACGGTGATGGTGACGGCTGGCAGTGGGCTCGGCAGGGCTCAGTGGCGGGCTCCATATGGGCTCCGCATTGGGCTCGACTTTTTTTTAAAATCGTTTCTTAGAGACAGACACGAAGCACCGTCTCTATTAATCGTCGTTAATAGTGACTCTTCGATGCTGCCTGCCTCATTAAATGTTTTTTGACCATCTCAGATAACCTTCTGTGTGCTAGTGAAACTTGATGTTGTAAAATTCAAAAAATATTGAAGAAAACTAGATGTTTTAACTCTCGACGATAGATTGGGCCCACTTCATATATTACAAGAAAGAGAGTATTTTGAGAGCTGAAATTGAATGGCAAGGCAATTAAATAAAAACAATATCAAGAGCTTGATTAGTGCTAGAACAGGCTTCAGTGCATTTTGGTAGTATAATTGAAAGGAGGACTTGTAAGAAAGCAAGAAGAGTTATGCAAGCTTGGGGATACCAGAGTATCTACAAATCACCTTAAAATCACTCGATAAATCAATGATTATACCAAGTGAATCTATCTCTAATAATAAAAAGACAAAATTTCAGATTATTTTTTTCATCCAGCCCATTCAATTTGGCCCAACAATCCAGACCACTCGCTTACACCTCTGCGTCCACAGCCGCAGGCCAAGCTTTTGTTGTTTTAAAAAGCGCTGCTCTGTTGTTTTAAAGTGTCCCGTCTCTACCTCTCCTGTCCGTGACAACACTGTTATAAAACATGTTGCCAGCGGTTGGAACCTTTCTCTCCCCCATATCTTATGATCAAAATAGTAGATAAAAGTAAAACATATAGACACAAGAGATAGGGAGACTATTCTTTATTTCTCTGAATATTGGTGATTACAATATAGAGCTCCCACATATATATATAGTCCTATCAAAATCTAAGAGTTTGGTAGGAGTCTACATATAAATACAAAAGGACTAGATTAGAATTCCACTTTCTCCTTTTCTTCTAGGATAGAGTCCGTATGTTTTACAACACTCCTCCTTGGACAATTACCACGATATGCACATGCCTCATTAAAAGTTCCATCCAAAAACCTAGTGAGAAAAAACGGTTCTTGGAGAAAAGAGTACATCGCATTCGTTAATTGTATTGCACATGTTGTCTCATTTAAAAACCTTGCATGAAAAACCTTCTAAGTAAAAACTCACATAGAAAAAAAGAGTACAACATTTAACCTTCTTGGTCAAGTA